CTAAACCCCCTAAACCCCCTAAGCCTAAACCCCCTAAACCCCCTAAACCCTAAACCCCTAAACCCTAAACCCAAAGCTCCAGGTGGACCTGGGCCTCAACCGCTTCGCCCTCAGCGCGGTCCGGGCTCCCAGGGCGCACCCAGTGAAGTCCCAGGGCTCCGAAGCCTTGAGGTGTAGGATCCCTTAAAAAGGGGGGGAAGCCCTTTGAAAAGGGATCCCTTTAAAAGCGGGAACCTCTTCAAAAAGGGATCCCTTTAAATGGGGGTTCCTTTAAAGGGGTTCCTTTAAAGGTCACCATCGTGGGATGCGCAGGGGTGTGTGTGTGTGCCAGGGCCCGAATAACTACAGGTAGAAACTTTGTTCCTGGGAGCTCCTTGTTGTACTCATACGACAATGTGCCAAAAAACCCTGAACCCTGTTCCACTAGTGTTGAGGCCTCTACAGTATCCAGAGCTGGTGGATTTTTGGGAGTGTCGGGTTTATGTATTGAGGGTTCGGGTTGAGGGTCAGGGGCTTTGGGTTTATTCTATTCTGTTTTGGGATGGTCTTTTCCGTGATCTCGCAGTCTTCTTCTTCGCTCTTGAAGCACGTATCGGCATATATGGTCATATATCGGCATCATTGTCAGTATACCTCTTCGGCATGAATACCGCTTCAAATCATTAGTGCTGTCATTGTTCGCATGGTCTTGACTCGATTGTGTTTCTTGGGTAGTGGAGAGCTTCGGTGAGTTGCTGACAAGAGAGTTGATCCTTTGCTGGGACAGGGGGGAGGTTTGGGTTCAAAGGTTATGTACGCGAGTAGTCACGGTTTCCGGATGGCTAAAGCTTGACGGAAGAACACTGAAAATACCCAGTTTTAAGCCCAAAATCAGATCCTGGCCATAGACGCAGCTCCAACCCGGGGGTGTATTTTCTAAGACTGTGTGTGACTGGCTGTGCTCTTGTGCACGTTACATGTCCGTGCCCACAGCTGTGCATGCGTGACTGTTTGCACAGTACGTGTGACAGGGTCATCGTATGTCATCGTCCCTGTAACGAAAGCCCTAGAGCCGTTGAAGAATCCCTGAATCCGGAGGCCATGAGCGCCTGCGAGAAGGGGCGGCTCTGGTCCCAGGCACTCAGGCGCCCAAACTGCTTTCGGGAGATCCCAACTAGGCCTCGGCGAGTAGATTCGGGAAAAGCGCGTCGAGGCTTTCTGCCCAGCCCAGCCCAGCGCAGCCCAGTAGAAAGGTGACTGGACGAGAGACTCCCACCCTCAAGGCTTAAACTTAGGTCTAAATTCTGCTTGTACAGGTGTCAGCAGGCAGCTCGCATTGTTCGCCATGAGCAAAGTCAGCAGTAGTTGGAGCAGGAGGCGCAGTGGCAGGGAGCAGCAGATATAGGTATGATATTATAGGACCCGAAGATATGACATGATATGAAACCCTAAACCCTAAACATGGACTAGTAGCAGCAGCGGCCCAACCCTCGCAGCTGCCCTGGTCGGAGGCTTCTCGTGCGCATGTGGACTTCTGAGATCACCCCCGAGGCGAAGTCGTTGGGTGTTTCGAAGGGTGCTTTATTGAACAGAACGCTACATGTTTTGTGAAACACTGTTGAGACTGTTCTCGATGTTTTTTCGACAGTGACAGTGGATCTTTGCACTCTTCTGAGACTCCCCCCTGCTTTTCGGACACATGTACCCTGCCGCAGCCTCCAAGAATTGCAGACGTAGATTGGAAGGATGGCAACGCCAACAGCTGCTTTCGAATCGTGCAAACCCAGGCATTTTTCTGACATAGCTTGATCCTTACATCGAGCAAATGTCAGTGAAAAGGGCAGGCAGTTGTTGATACACAGGTGGCCCTGAATTAGATGCCTCTGTGCCTCTGACGAGCCCCCCTAAACCCTAAAACCCTAAACACGTAAAACCCTAAAGCACTCAAGCCCTGAAGCCCTAAACCAGAGAGAGAACCCATGCACCATAAATCCTAAGTCCAAAAACAGCCACCTTCAAACCCTGAACCCAAAACCCTAAACCCTAAACCCTATCAGGTTGTCACAGTCACCGCTGCCCTGGGGGCCGTGGCTTCTAGCGCCAAGTGGGAGAAGGCGCCAGCAGCTCGGAAGTTTGGATTACGTTTGGAGCTTTGAATTTGGGGCTTAATATTTAGGGCTTAGGGTTTAGGGCTTAGGGGTTAGTATGTAGGGTTTTAGCATTTAGGGTTTAGTGTTTAGGATTTAGGGTTTAAATAGGGTTTAGTGATTTATGGGTTTGGAGTTCTGGGCGACTCACGAAGATTAGGGGCTCCGAGACATAGGGTATGGATACAAGCTGCCAGATTGAGGATTGTCGTGGGCTTCAACAGTTCAGTGTCCAGAGCATGGCTACTGGCAACTGAATAGGACCAGTCTTGGTGAGCGGGATGAGCATCAGGGGTGCCTAGGCGTGTTGATGGTGTGGAGGGTGATGGGAAGGAGCGACTTGATATTATCCAGTGTCAGTGTTCCCTTCGTGACACTACCTCTGCGGCTAGCAGCTGCTGCTGCTGCTACTGCTGCTACCACCACAACGACTAAACCCTCTACGACAACCACAACCACAACCGCAACCACTAATTACCACTACCACCACCACTACTACTACCACTCGACCGACGACGCCTTCGGCAACTAGGAATCCCTTGTCCATTTTGTTGTGCACCACCCTAACAATCAACACATGTTTCGGACAACACTGCTGAAATCATCCGCGTCTACCGGGGTTCAGGAGCAAGAGCAGTAGAGCAGGAGCAGGAGAATAAGAGCAGTAGCAAGAGCAAGAGCAGAGGAGCAAACTCAACAGCAAGAGCAGGCGCAACAACATCGGCAGGAGCAAGAGCAGCAGCAACAGCAAGAGCAGGAGCAAGAGCAAGAGCACCGCAAGAGAGGGAGCAAGAGAAACAGCAAGAGCAGGAGAGCCGCAAGAGCAAGGGCAGGAGCACGAGCAAGGGCAGGAGCAAGAGCAAGATCAGGAGCATCAACAAGAGCAGGAGCAAAAGCCAGATTTGGAGCAAGAGCAAGATTCACCAAAAGTGACAGTAGAGATGAGCACGCAACAATCAACTTGGTATTCAGGAATCACTTCGACGACGGCTACTATTGCTGCGGCTGCTGCTGCTGCTGCTACTACTACTACTACTGCTACTACGACCTCGACTTCGACTACGACTACGACTACGACTACGACTACGACGACGACGACGACTACTAGCAATTGTACTAGTAGCAGTTGTACTAGTTAGTAGTAGTACTATTACTGCGATTACGACGACGACGACTACTACTACTGCCACCACTACCTGGTTTTCCTCAAGTCTTCGTGCGCTTTGATGCCAATGATGCGTGTCTTGAGCGGGCGCTTGTTACCTTTTTTTGATTGCACGCGCATTGTGATTAGTGGTCAAACTGGCAGACTTTTCAGGGCAACTGGACATAATTCCTGAGAATGCCTGCGAGCGGGACTCGAAATCCTAAGTTGATGTCTGTGCCAGGAATGTGCTAGAAAGCGCCTGGCCATGGGGAAAGCGATGTGCAGCTATGCTTGTGGTGTGACTTCAGACGCTGTGGTGTAACTTCCCGCGTTCCCGCGTGACCATACGGTGTCGCGACTTCACGCGCCCTGGGGCGACATAAAGCTACCCCTTGTAGTGCTACTACCTACGACTACTTCTACGACGATGTGAAGAGGAGGACAACGACGACCACTCATACAGGTACGTCAAGATCATCACGTTCATCCTGATCATAACCATGATAACCGTAACCATGTCTCTTATTAGTAGCCGTCATTGTGTGCATAAGCATAAGCATGCTCACGCCCATCTGCATCCAGCTCCTCCTCCTCCTCCTCCTGCTCCTCCTTATCATCATGCTCGTCATCCTCATATATCCTCCTCCTCCTCCTCATCATCATCATCATCATCATCATCTTCGTCACCATCCTCATCATCCTCACCATTCGCATCATCCTCACCCATCTTCATCATCACCATCATCCTCATCATCTTTCATCATCACCGTCAGTACCATCACCATCAGCATCATCATCACCACCATCATCACCATCACCATCATAATCATCATCATCATCGTCGTCATCATCATCATCATCCTCATCAGCATCGTCATCATGCGCAACACCACGGTCACAGGCAATCTCATTGTGGAAGTTGGCTCAGGCTGTGGCTTCTCTCTGCGGCGGGACCTTCTCCCAGAGGCGGGGGTGGCAAAGGCTCAGTGGTCGAGTTTCATTATGAGTTGGGTTGGGGGTTGCACTTCCAACGCTTGCTGTGGCAGGGCTCCCACGCAACACGGCCACGCTCAATGCTGCCGGTAGCGCTTGCAGACTGGGAACTTCGTGGACAATGGCCTTGGCATTGCTGGACATGGGCCACTGCACCGCAAGCAAAAGATTCATTCCTCTCTCAAAAACTACAAAAACTACAGAGCCTGGCCCCTTGTGAGCTGTCGCACGAGATCCCGCCAGGTGAGCTCCAGCCGAGCATCGCGGCCTTCCGCTCCGCACTGGCCGCTGCAGAGCTCGCCGGAGAGCCCGTGGCCGCCCGCTTCGCCGAGGTCGGCCTTTGGAGAAGAACGGCACGGGGAGAGGGGCGCAGTGCTCCCAAGCACCGAGGCGAGTATGCAGCAAGATGCAAGAGAAGCCGCTTTTTATTGTATTAGTTTGTAGAATGTGGTAGTCATTGTAGTTTTTTGTAGAATATTGTAGTGTCGGTATACTGTAGTATCTTGTTAGACTGTTGTAGTATATTGTAACATATGAAAGAATGGTGAGCTGCTCTTCAGAGAGAGTCGGGCCCAGCTGCCCTGATCCCAGGCTGGTGCTACGTCGCAGCTGCAGGCTTCCGGGACACCTCTCGCGGGGCGCCTGCTCTGTGGCAGCGCCTCCCAGGTCTTGGCGGCTCTCCAAGGACCCTTTTCGGGGATGAGTAAAGAGCCGAGTAATCTTTGAAGAAAGGGTTGAGGGTCTAGCTTGTAGTAGAGCATCACAATCCTTAAGCAGGTGCTCCTTTCAAGATGGAGAGCCTTGGAAATGGGAAAAGTATATATATACCCCCTAGTTGGGGCTGCTCTGCCCGCGTCTCATTCCTCCAGGCGGTGGCACTTCGGCAGCACGCGACTTCTACGATGTCGGGAGTCTAAATGCACGCCTGGCCACAGAGCGTGGTGGTCAGGGGCCCAATGCTGGGCAGGAGGCCTGCACCAGACCGGCGGGGTGGGGGCCGATTTTTTCTGTCTATATCTATATCTACATCTTTCTCTGTATTCATATGTAGATATGCACATAATACATTTATATTATATGATATTTGAGACCGAAACTAGTGTCAACCCAAGTGCAGGGCGATGTTGGCGAAGTGACAATGCAGACTAGAATCGCCAATGTTGAGGCTTAGCACGTTGGAACGGTCGGGTCAAGAAGAGGCGTGAATAGGGTAACCCTTTGCAGCAGCCCTTGTAGTAATCCTTATAGTCACCCTGGAAGTGCTCCTTACATGATCCCCTGGTTCGTTTGCAGGTAGCTCCCTGGGCTCACAGCGCCCGTCGGGCGCTGGCGTCGGCTCTGCCCTCGCCTGCGCCTGCAGCGGCGGCAGCGGCACAGCTGGCGGCCTGGTGTGAGGTGGGGTCCCGACTCAGGGGATCAGTTCATCAGGGACTTGGTGCAGGCTACTTGGCTGCTTCAAACCGCTCAGGAGCTTTTTTCTGTCGTAGTCTGGCCCAAGATGACCTCCGCACCCAAGCATCCCATGGCGATGAGCCTCCAAAAGTCCGTGACGCTGCGGCGCCTTCGCGCCGACTGGCAGGAACTGCAGGAGCATCCCCTGCGCGGGATCGCAGCAGCACCACTCGCTGAGAATCTGCAAGAGTGGCATGCCAACCTCACCCCAGAGCATGGCCACTATGCAGGGCTGCTGCTGCATGTGGTCCTGACGTTCCCAGACAACTACCCGACGGATCCTCCCAAGGTGCGCCTCCGCACCAACATCCCCCACTCTAACGTCATCCCAGCCGTGGGCCAAGAGAAGAACTTCATTTGCATCGACATGCTGAAGAACTTCTTCTGGATGGGCGGCGAGGACAGTAGCAGACCCTACGAGGGATGGAGTACAGCCTACAGCGTCTCATCCATCCTCCTACAGGTGCAGTGCTTCCTCTTCGATGAGTGGGCACAGAACTACGACGGGCGCTACAAGCACACCTTGTGGGATGCCGTCATTGAGGAGGGCGGCCACCGAAGGACCGCCCAGGAGGTGCGTCAGCGCCTGCAGCGTGCGCAAGAGGAGGCCGTGGCCTTGACGTGCAGCTGTGGGCACTGTGGGACAAAGCCGTGGCCCGAACTCGAGGTTCGCATGGTCAGGGTTCCTGGCATCCATTTAGTGGGGGACACTCCGGCAGCGCACGGCGTCACCTTCCGCATCGACCGTGTCCTCGCAGACGGCAAGATGGAGGTGACGCCGGAGGGCGGCAAATCTCTCACCGTCACGGCCTCGCACTTTGCGCCAGGCCCCTTTCCTTGGAGCCAAGAGCCACCCAAAAGCCATACCGTCGCCGCCTCACGAGCCTCTCAAGCCCTGGCCAAGAAGCCGATCGAATGTCAGCTGGAGTCTTTGGAGGTAGAGAGCTCAGTCTGCACTACGCAGCTGGAGTCCAGCTCCGAGACCCTTCGAAGCAGCACCAGCGTGAGCTCCCTCTTCCTGCCCTCCAGGGACCTTCCCCTTGCAAGAGCGCGGGAGCCCTTGCAAAAGCTCCAAGTTGGCAGGGAGGTCCGGGGCCGGGTGGTGCGGCACCTGGACATCGGCTTTTTTTTGGACGTCGGCTGCACCTGCCAGGGCCTCCTCCGCCGACGCCAGGCCCGCGGACTCGAACTGAAGCTCGGCGACTGCGTGAAGGCTTTCGTGGCCTCCACGGAGCCAGAGAAGTGGCGACTGGATTTGGTGCTCAGGCCGCCGGCTTCCCAGGTGGAGCTCGATTCCTGGCAGGAGGCCGGCACCGAAGTGACTGGCGTGGTGGTGGGCATCCAGGCCTACGGCATCTTCGTGGACATCGGGGCGGCCGAAGCGGGCTTGGTGCACGTCTCTCGGCTGGGCTCCCTGGACATCTCGCAGACCCAGCTCGGACACGAGGTGTCCGTGCAGATCCTTGCGCAGCAGCCCAAGCTGCAGTTGGCAGGGCCCCAATCGCAGTTGGCCGAGCTGCAGTCGTTCCTGGTGCCGGTGCAGGTGCTGCCCCGGCCAGAGGGCCAAGCTGCGAAGGACGAAACGCGGCTCCCAGGCAACCTCGCCGCCCTGCCAAAGCCGCTTTTCGCACGAGTGCTGCTGCAGGGCCTGAACTTGGCAGACTTGAGCCACTTGACTCATGCATCAAGATCGTTGCGGGCTATGTCAGAGGAGGCTTCGAGCATCTTCTGGGACCTTCGCAGCCTTTGCTGCTTCCATACCCGCACCCGCTTCGATGAAGACGGCTGCATCCTGGGAGTGGGGGTTGCCGTCACTGAGGAGGATGGCCGGAATCACCTCACCTGCGATTTTGATCCGATCTCGAAGCTAGCTTTCCATCAACTCGGTGTTCGCAAAGGCGTCTGGAAAAATAAGATCTCATACTGGCTACCTCTGGCCATCGACGCCCATCATTTCCACCGGGCGACACCACCTTTGATCAAAGTCCTCCAGGTGCTGGGCACTGGGATGGTGGCGGAGCAGACGCGGTCCTTTGGGCGGAAGCCGGGGCGCTCTGAGCCCCCTAAGTCCATCCAAGCTCTCAGCTTTGACGAGTGGCTGGAGTCCCGGGCCAAGAAGTCTGAAGCAGCGAAACTAGGCCCCTTCTTGAACATAGGCTTCGGTTGTAACTGGGATCCTAGACGTTTCAGACGGGCGGCAGTACACTCATAGTTACGCAGCTACAGAGTTCTTGAAGGGCCTCAGAGAACAGCCCAGGAAAGCCAAGTTCGAAGCTTTCCGCGCCGGGACGCTGGAGGAGAAGGTTCCAGAGAAGGTGCCGATTCCGACTAAGCCAAGCTTCGACGCTGCGGTGGTCTTGGACGTGCTTCCTAAGCTGATGAACTCCCAAGTGGTCCTCCTGATGAAGGGTGAGACTTGGGCATCGCACAAGGCACTTAGTGGGTACATGGGCTTCCACCATCTCTTGCTTTCCATCTGCCGAGATGAGCCAGCGGTGCAGGCGGAGCTGGAGAAGCGCATCGAGAATTTCATGGCGGCGGAGGAGGAAAGGGTGAAGTCCAAGGTCCCGAACTTGGGGGAGTTCATCTGCTTGATTGCAGCGTCTACGAAGCACGATTGGCCCTCTGTTGCAGGCCCTCTTCTTGCAGAGGTCTTCGACAGAAACGTCCTTTGGCTCCTGAAGAAGTACCCGCATTTGGGCCAGCTCAGTGATGTGGGCGTGAGCAAAGAGCGCCTGCGGGCGACTTTCGAAGCAGCTCTGGTCTCCATGCGGCTGATCATGTTCAATGCCTGGTTCCTGAACAACGTGGCGAAGCCTCCTGGCGAGGAAGGAGCTCCGCTGCTCCGCTACGAGCGGACCAAAGGGGTAGCACCGAGGCACCAGATCGAAGCCGTGCACAGGGCAGTGCGGAGAATCTGCGAGGTCAACACCTGGGAGGCCTACTTCGATTCCCTTGGCGTCAAGCGCATCGCTCCCTTGCAGCTGTGCTGCTGGCTGCGGCAAAGCGTGCTGAATTCTTCCCGGAAGGGCTATCACAGGCCAGGTAGGTTTCAAAGCCGTGCCAGGCCTGTCAGGAATGATTCAGCCTGGGATGCTTGCGACCAGATGGCTGAGGCTTGGGAGTGAGGCTCCTTGAACAATTTTGTTTGGACTTAGCCTTCGTCGCCGGCCCTTGATGGCCTCTGAATGAACCCGGCGGCCATGGTGTACAGCTGTGTACAGTGTATAGAGATTAAGACAGTCCGGGCATGCGGTGATGCGTTCCCTGGCGGCGAAGGGGAAGGGACAGAGATGCGGAATCGGACTTCGAGGTAAACGCCGGCAGCCCCTCACCACGATGCGTTCATCTTCATGCGCGTCTATCCACGTTGTGACGAACGTACCACAGGTTCCGCGGAGCATCTAAGCCTACGAGCCTTTCTTGGTATTCTGCATCTTAGACTCCTGTACACCGCTTCGAGGTGGTCGGTGCAGCTAATGCCCCACCGTCACCTGAAAGCAACCGTAACAACCCCAAGCCCTAAGTTGCATTCCCTGGCCCCAAAAACCTAAATTTTAGTCTCACGACCTGCCCTAAAGCCCTAAAGCCCTAAACCCCTAAAGCCCCAAAGCCTTAAACCCTAGGCCCCTGAAGCCCTTCATAAACCCTAAAGCCCTTACAAAAGAAGAGCAGAAGCCTCGCCAGGCCGATCTGGTTCCTCGGACGCAGTGCCAGGGTCTTTTGGGCAAATACGGTTACCGGTTTAGGGTTTAGGGTTTAGGGTTTAGGGTTTAGGGTTGATGATATACATCCTGCATTGCCCCTTAATAAGGAATATAACCATAATACGGAATATCTACCATAAGGAATATACACCATACTAAGGAATGTATACCACAATAAGGAACATATACCATAATAAGGAACATATATATATATATACATACCAAAATGAGGAAGATATCTACCATAATAAGGAGTATATATCATAATTTTAGGGTCCTGAGGGTCATCAACGGTATCTCACGGATTCTGCACCCGACTCTTGGGTTTGGGGGTTTGGGGTTCGAGGCTCAGGGGTTGGAGTTCAGGGTTTAAAGAAAGGGGCAGGTTGGCATCATCGTGGCGAAGGATGTCGAACGTAGGTTCATGTTCTGGTCGCGGTGAATACAACTCAGATAGAATTGAGCGTATTAATATGACTGTACACAGGGGTGTGCTCGGTACGGTGGCGGCTTACAATAAACAGCCTTTGCAGCCTGGCGAGGGATGAGACACGAGGACCTGGACCTAAATCTTATAAAGCCTTAAACCGACACCTTGCCATGCATCACACCCCTTTCATTCCTGTGCCCCCCACCCCTCCCCCCCTCCCCCCGGTTCCTGAAGGCCTTGCCAGCGCGGCGAGGGTCCTGGCTGCAGCAAGCGTTGGCGTTCCTGCAAGATCTGCAGCAGATGGTTTCTGCGAAAAAGCGGTGTGGCATGATTTGACATGGCCGCGTTTCCATGCCGAGACCTCTAAGTCGAATCGCATAAGATTTCGGGTCTTCTCGTATACAGGCCTAGTGAAGTTGAAAGCTTTAGCAAGCGGCCGCAGGACAAGCTTGGAACGCTTCGGAAAGTGGCCAAGGACTGGTTTACCTGATTGATTTCGTCTGCTGCCTACAGCCTCATTCCTGAGGCTAACGCGTTTAGTGACGTAATCGTTTGTTCTTCGATGTGCCAGTTCCTGAGAGCGGTTTGCACGGAAACACGGCGACGTGCGTGGGCTTTACTGTCGTAGTGGCCAGTGAGCGAGCCATGACCCCTATGTGACTCCACAGCTAACTGCCCTAAATCTTGATTCCGAACAAGCCCTTATGATACCCTAAACCCTAAACTAGCATCGGCCATGCTGCGGATTCAGACTGTGTCCGGTGAAGAACTCGTTGCGCTTGACTTGGCAAGCTTTCTCGAGACGCAGCCTGCCGGCATGCATCCCGTCCGGGCACTGAAGCAAC